GGGGGGGGGGGGGGGGGGGGAAGGGGAAAATAGAGAAGTCCGTGCTGATGGCTCGAACGCGGCGGGGAGGATACTTTGAGCGAGAGATCGCGATGCCATGTGTGACTCAATGGAGGAACATCGTGAACTCTACGCTTCTCGAGCGCCGTCCGACTATATATACCTGTGAGTACAGTAATTTACGAAGGGGCTACTGGCGCTAGCCCGATGCCTTCGGACGAAGACCTTGCACGGACTAGCGGGGCAGCTATTTCATTGCCCTGGCAACAAAGCCAAACACATCCAGATCCTGGTACGGAGTAGAGCCACATAACTTGTCATTTGTGGTGAAGGGATTCTCTGCGCACGCATTCATTTAGCTATAGAGATTAAAACTATCTCTACTACATTAATTCAATATAGCAACTCCCTGGTGACAGCTTTGTCTCCCCACAGAATCGAGATTTACAGAATGTCCCATCTATTTCGGCTTCCGCGTCGACCTGCACACCAGGAGTTCACGAAAATGGACAAGTTTGCATCTTAAGCGAGGAGACCCTCGACACAAGCAGCCTAGATCGAGAGCTATTAAGGACGATCATGAAAGCAATTTTGAGAGAAACTGACGCATTGCAATCGCCACGGGCAGACACCGGAGTTATGACGCCGGACGAAATCCGTGTGACCTGTGACGGTCAAGTGCATACCAATCCCTCGACGCTCCACGAAAGTATTCTTGAATCTGAACACTAATTATCCTTATCTACTCATCCACGCAGCTCTCATTTTCTTCTGGAAAATGTCCCTACGTCTATATGGCAACACCTTGCATCGCCCTACTCTATGTCTCAGTGCAACCTGAAGCCTGGACCATTCAAGTCAATTCAACGAATGGCCTTCATAGACCCCAATCAACGCCATGGCAGCGTATCCTGAATTGGATGAGGTGTTTCGTTCGCTATGGCCTTATCCTGATACCTCGTAGCCTCAGCCACAACCCCAGGGCGCTGTTACGACCTATTGGCACACAAATTTACATCTCGCCCCATATTAAGGGGCCAATTCTCACATTCCAGCTACAGACTAATTCGTGCAACGTTTCCGCACGCGCGAGCTCTGTACAACCCTTCGGTGATTCAAAAGAGTCTCTCGCATTCCCAGCTGCGGAACATACTGGGAGCAAAGGAAAAGACCACGAGTATTTTCTATTAAATTGCAATAACTCAGTGAAATTCACTTACCAATATCTGTGCACTTCTGGGGTGCTAGCTTCGACTTTACAATAGAGAGGGGCCTAAAAGGTTGAGCATGCTGGAGCGCAAATCCTCGGCCGTTGTTCAAATTTGCATTAAGTCTCATCCTCGAATAATGACATCGTCTCTGTTTTCACCGTCACGCCTTGTGGCGTTTAGTGATCTTTAAGTTCCACCGAGTGTGGTACTTGAAGTATTATCACCTTACAATCACTCTTGCAGGATCTTCCTCAAGTGGGCGCCTTGACTGTCGCAATCTGCCTCGAGGGGCATAAAGTCCAAGCTAGGACTGAGTCCTCCTGCCGCCCTACCGTTGGTGCTCGACTCACTCATCCCATCGTCACTGGTTCCTGCCTCTATGTGCGCCGAACCACTGGTAGAGTTAGTAGCGGCTCCATTTATGGTGCTGGCGGCGCTGCTGGCACTGTTTCTGTGTTCGAATTTCAGAACAATCCTTCTGACAAGTGTCCAGTAACTGTCGGCCGAAGTTTCAAAACCCATCTCGCTCACGTTTGTGCGGGACAGTTTCGCGCAGACATCATCCCAGAGAGCCTTCCAGTTTGCCAGGGCAGTCTTCATCGGCTCGTACACCAGATGCGGTTCCGAAGCCAGCGGAGTGGACGATATCCGATTGAGTGGGTTTCCAAAGAGATGCTGCCAACAGTGGGTATACAGAACTTGCGCATGAATTAGCAACGTCCAACGAGATTCGCCCATCTGCAAAGATTGAAGTCCATACCGTGGATGAGGTAGAACATGTCCCAACAACACAAATTCTTGTTCTGATATGCCGCTCTAAGCTCGCCCGGATGGACGAATAGTTTCTGGAAAGCTTCGATCAACTTCATCCGCGGACGAGGGAATAAACCTCGTTGTAGCATATCTGCATAGCTCAACAATTCGAAATATTCAGCATGGCATGGTAGCTGAAGATCTATTTCGCAGTAGTTGATGCGAGGAGGAACGTTGTTGAAGATTCCCATGGCTGAGTCTAGGGCGAGCAGCACATTCATCGTCCTAGGAGATGGCTGTCAGGAGAAGAGACATCCAGCCTAACACTGTAAGAAACCACCTACCGAACACGGGCCTCGGTCCGCACCCAGCGCTGAAAAGCGGGATCGTCTGGTATTGCAACAACATGTGAATGCTGCGCTGCTAGCAAGCCGAAATATCGCGCGAGCTGCGACCAAGTCAGATACGAATATGTGGATGGGCAAGGCTGACCGACATTCAGAATCGAAGGGAACCTCTGCCTTCTCGCTCTTCTCTGGCCGGCTAGATTCCCCGAGAAGTATTGGACGACGA